CGGTGCGAGCTTGTGCTCTGACCGTGTGGGGCTGTACCACAGTCAAAGTAGCCCCAGAGTCTCTCAGCGCCCGGGCCCCCACGCCATCGACGGTAATCCATTGGCGGTGGTGGTCCCGGTTGTCCCCCCCAGCTTGTACTGGATTGACCTCATGTAATACACTCCACTGTTCTTCGTGGTTAAGGGCAGGGCCTGTGTGTTCCTGTTGCACACAGTGAGCAGCTGCCCTGGGTTGTTGTGGGGCTGGCCGTTCCCAGCTTCCCCGGTTTAAGCGAGGGCACTGATGCTTGTAATGTCCTGGTTGCTTGCAGTAGTGACACACTGCAGGAGGTCGAGGTGTGTTTGCTGGGTTCGGTGGGGGGTTACCTATGGCAGGTCTAGGTGGAGCCGGGTTTGTTGGAGCTGTGTACTGAGGCTTAAATGGTGGTCTGCTCGCCCCTGGCTCCTTCCTCCTGTTATCCTGGTACTCGTCCGCTAGCCTAGCGGCCTCCTCCACGGTTTTTGGTTTCCTATCTTTTACCCAGTCTTTTATGTCCTCTGCAGTATGATTAAAAAATTGCTCCAGTATCACTAGTTGCAAAGCTTCTTCTAGGGTGGTTGCCTGGCAGCCCTTCATCCAATTGCGGGCTGCCCGCTGCAGGCGAAAAGCCCATTCCGTATGGGAATCTCTCCCAGTCTTTCTCAGGTCTCTAAACTTTTTCCGGTATGCCTCCGGAGTTACCGCATATCTGGCCAACAAAATGTCTTTTATTTTCTCATAATTATGTATGTCCCCCTCAGGTACTGCTCGCAGCGCCTCGGCTGCTCTACCTGACAATTTACTGCTGACGACTGCAGCCCATTTGGTGGAGTCTAATCCCTCCAGTGCACACTGACGTTCAAAGTCTTGCAAGTAACTGTCAATTTCCATTTCATTGTCAACAAATGATTTAAACGCTGCATAATTTACCTTCTTTGGTATTTCCCCAATACTTCTCGGGGGGTGTAGCAAATCCCCCTGTGACGCTCTGTCCCGGTCATCTCGCTCTTTTTGCGCTTGTCTGGCTTGTGCTACGACCTGCAGTATCGCCTCTGAGGATGGATTGGGTCCCAATAAACTGAGTGTCCATCGGATGTCCTTTTGCATCACGGTTTCTTCCTCTTGGTCCATCTCTATATTACTGGTATTATCGCTCTGCATTAACTCCGCAATTATCGTGGCTTTTGTTTTGTTACTTGCCACTCTGCCTCGAGCTTCCAGTAAGTCCTTTAGCGTGGTTCTTTTAAGTAGCTGGTACTGCTGAGCCATTCATTCCTTTGCTTGTTTTGAAATGTCCATTTGGGATTCGAATCCCTCCGCTTGCCACCAGTTGTAAGGAAATCAAGTATAGCTGAACCGCTTTGATAATTCCTCCTGCAATGCCAGCGTCTAAGGTAGTTCCAAGCAATGAAGTCCATAAGAAATATAACAGCTTCCCAAGATAATCCCCTTGGTAAAGCATACGAATTCCCAAATAACAGTCAGAGTCCAGAATCAGGATACAAGTAGATCTGAGGTCTGGAATCTCCAGCCTGCTTTTTATTAGGGTTACAGACAAAAAATACACACCCAGGGGGAGGCATTAAATCACCAATCAGGTACAGGTTACAGCCCCTACCTCCCTCCCCTCTGATAAACAGTTAACTTCATTAAAACGTGCACTATTTTACCCCAGTTCTGGATGTACCCCAAAAACAGGGGGTACACCTTTAAATTGGGCACCGCTGGATAGTGCTCACTTGTGGGGACAATATGTCAAAAAATCAGTCCATTCGGATGAATGGTTCGGGAGTTATGGAGCACTAAAGTTTTGACCGACCGCACGGATCATCTAGCCGAAAATAGTTCCATAAGTTTTGGCCCTGCGGTCGGTCTCCGTTTAGGCGAATAAAAGAGACGAAAGCCCTGCCATCCGTTCGCATCTTCGTGGTCGTTGAAATCCCCATACGAAGTTGCATGTAACTACCGAACGGCCGGTGATTCGGTTTTTCCCGTGCGAAGTTCTGGATGTATGGAGGTCTCAGCGGTGTTCGCCTGTTTGCGTATCCGATTTTAGTTCCACGCGTTGACGGGCAAACACCGCTGTTCGCACGTAAAATGGCCGCGACCACGTGTAAAGTGCCGAAATGGCGGCCACCTAGCTTTTACACGGGGAATTCGCCTGAATCCATCCGAAGGGTAGAAATTATAGCTATATGCCGAATTCCAGCTGAATTGGGTGAATTAACTGTGCAACCAAGGTAGAAATCCTGATGAACGGAGTCATTTCTTCACAGTATGTATGTCTATGTCTGTATGCATGTATGTCTGTCTGTATGTATGTCTATGTCTGTATGCATGTATGTCTGTCTGTATGTATGTCTGTATGCATGTCTGTCTGTCTGTCTGTATGTATGTATGTATGTCTATGTCTGTATGCATGTATGTCTATGTCTGTCTGTCTGTATGTCTGTCTGTATGTATGTTTATGTATGCATGTATGTCTGTATGTCTGTCTGTATGTATGTCTGTATGTCATTATGAATGTATGTTTGTATGTCTGTCAGTATGTATGTCATTATGAATGTATGTCTGTCTGTATGCATGCATGTCTGTCTGTATGTATGTCTGTCTGTATGCATGTATGTTTGTATGCATGCATGTATGTCTGTCTGTATGTCTGTCTGTATGCATGTCTGTCTGTCTGTATGCATGTATGTATGTATGCATGCATGTATGTCTGTCTGTCTGTCTATGTATGCATGTATGTCTGTCTGTATGTCTGTATGCATGTATGTATGTCTGTATGTATGTATGTCTGTCTGTCTGTATGTATGTCTGTATGCATGTATGTCTGTATGTCTATGTATGTATATATGTATGTCTGTATGTCATTATGAATGTATGTCTGTATGTCTTTCAGTATGTATGTTATTATGTATGTCATTATGAATGTATGTCTGTATGTATGCAAGTATTAATGTATGTCATTATGTATGTCTGTCAGTATGTATGTATGTATGTCTGTCAGTATGTCTGCATGTATGCCAGTATTAATGTATGTCTGTATGTCATTATGTATGACTGTATGTCTGTCAGTATGTATGTATATATGTATGCATGTATGTCTGTATGTATCTATGTATGCCAGTATCAATGTATGTCTGTATATCAGTATGAATGTATGTCTGCATATCATTATGAACATTTGTTTGTGTGTATGTGTAACACCCTGTATGTCTGTTTGAGATATGGTATCCGTGTGATTATACACCCGGATCTCTTTTTCCAACAGTCATTCAGGGTATCCTTATTTTTCTCTAAATGATCTGGGTTATGCCGATATTACCCACTTAGTCCACCTCTGACCTCAGGGCCAGATATTCTGCCCCTTGAGTCTCCCCCTTTTTTTTTTTTTTTTACACTAATGAAGATATCCTAGACTCCTAAAAAACAAACAAAAAAAACCATGGGCTCATATCCCCTAAGTGGTGAAGAAGGTACAATATAAAAAAAATATAAAGGAGTAACAATGAAATTTACAGCCTAAACTGATAAAACCACACAACACAATCTAGACCAGAGGATAAAAATAGATAGCAAAAAAAACCACAAGTGTACTTATCCGTCGGGGGCCCCTCCACGGATCTGAAGTGATGCTATCGTTGGTGGTATAGAGGTGTCAAAAGGATCCAGATGGTATAGTTGCCAGCAGAGCGTCAATGATCTGTAACTAGTAACAATCAGGACCAAAGAAGTCTACGCGTTTCATCTCTCTAGGACATTCTCAAGACTGTGGTCCCAGATCTATTCGACCCCAATAAACCCCTTCCTGACCATGACATAAAACAGTCGTTAACGACCTCGGACGTACCTGGCACTCTGTACTTTCTGTTTATGCGCTGGAAGAACCCAGGTATTATTGGATTTATTTGCAAAATTCCAAGTTGGAAAACTGGAATGCGCACCCTCCAAATAAGGTCTTTTAGACCCCAGAGAACCCCACCCACCTATACATGGGTGGTATCACTGTACTCAGGAGATGTTGCTGAACACATATTGGGGTGTTCTTTGGCAGTAACCCTTAAAGGTCTCAAGGCATATATTCTTAAAATGCTATATGTGTCAAAAAAAAATGACCAATTATTTTTATTTTTTTTCAATTTGGCATAGATTGGTGGTAAAATGGTTGCATGAAAAGAGTCAAAATACCCCAAGTTTAATACCTTAGGTTGTCTTCTTTAAAGTGAAGGGTTATTCAGGGATTCCTGACAAATATCAGTGTTAAAATGTAACTTTTGTTAATTTTGAATTTGGCAGTTGCAGATGCATTAATTGGACACCATATTCAAAAAGCCTGATCTATTCTTCATTCATACCATAATGTGTAAGAGTGTCTAATGTAAAGGACCACTATAGGCACCCAGACCTCTTCAGCTCAATGAAGTGGTCTGGGTGCCAGGTCCTTCTAGTTTTAACCCTGCAGCTGAAAACATAGCAGTTTCAGAGAAACTGCTATGCTTCATTGAGGGTTAATCCAGCCTCTAGTGGCTGTCTCACTGACAGCCACTAGAATCCGCTTCCGCGCTTCTCGCTGTGATAATCACTTTTACTTTCATGAGCTGTAAGCCATAATCATCGCACTTATGACAAATCCCAGCCTATCTTGCTTTGCATGTAATGCGTCTATCTCATATATTTGTTTCCCATTTTACATTGCATTACTGAAATAAATGAACTTTTGCACGATATTCTAATTTATTCGAGTATCACCTTTATGTACTTTTCTATAACTATTTAACTACTGTTCCTCAATTTGTACTTTTCCTGACAACATAGTAAAATAAAAAGAGATTGTGTGTGACAAAAATAAAAACATACTAGCTATAGAACAAAATCAATTATTATTTATTGTTTTCAAGTTTATGCATCAACATTTTTTTTTTGCCATGCTTGAAATTAAGTTATTTTTAATTAAACAATAAGCATTACTTTATTTTGGACAATTAGTCATTGACACATCACTAGGCAATAAGCAATATAACAATGCATACAACAAAATGACAATAATTACAAGTAGAAAAGTAGCAAGGTTAAAGGGACACTATACTCACCAGAACAACTACAGCTTATTGAATTTGTTCTGGTGAGTAGAATCATTACCTTCAGGCTGTTTGCTGTAAACACTGTCTTTTCAGAGAAAATGCAGTGTTTACATTACAGCCTAGTGATAACTTCACTGGCCACTCCTCAAATAGCTGTTAGAGATCCTTCCTGGGTCATGGATACCTAAAATGCTTCCAAACGTTCAGTATCTCCTCCCTCTGCATGCAGACACTGAACTTTCCTCATAGAGATTCATTGATTCAATTCATCTCTATGAGGAGATGCTGATTGGCCAGGGCTGTGTTTGAATCATGCTGGCTCTGCCCCTGATCTGCCTCCTTGTCAGTCTCAGCCAATCCTATGGGGAAGCATTGTGATTGGATCAGACTTCCACTTCTGATGATGTCAGCAGACTGCTTGTTTTTCTGAGTCTAACAGCATGCAGAGTTACAGCTTCTGGCATGAATACAGTATGATTTTGCTATATTTATGGAGGCATGAGGGGCCCAAGGGGGCTAGATGGTGGTTTTAACACTATAGCATCAGGAATACATGTTTGTGTTCCTGACCCTATAGTGATCCTTTAATCTAGTGAGGGGGGTAATGAGGAGATATGGCAAAGACTTCACACAATTTGTAAATGTAGTCACACTGCCAGTTACATTAGGATGGCATTTATCTAAATTATGTAATATCTAATTGGGGTATTAGTATATTAAGCATGTATCAGCCCCATCTGGAGTTAAGTAGTGTATTATTGGTTAAAGTGGTCAAATAGTATATTTCAAAATTTACTGCCTGAAAAAATCTACCCTCCTCGACCAGTAGCCCTGGTCTAAATTCTCAAATTGTCTATTCTCACATATAACAAATAGTTAGCTAACTACAGATGGACAGAAACCAACAGCCACGCCATGGCAATTCAATGTTTGCTGACTTTTGTGCATATACATCTTAGCACAGTTACTAAAAGGACACTAGAACTCTTATATTTCATATTAAATTGGTAGTGCACAGTCAACAAACATAAAAAGAGTGATATACTAAATTGTGAATTGTCTTAACATGAAATCAACATTAATTTCAAATATTAGATACATACACAAATTTAAAAAAAGAATCTTCAAGTCATCTGTGTATGCAGCTGCTTATGCTTATTTGTGCCTGTCCTGACGTGTTTCTATTGATTTAAGTGTTTGAGATGATAACACCCTTACTTATCACTGTAATGTATTATTCATTTGAGATGGTTTCTACTTTGTGTTAAGATCACCTGGAAAATGTACCAGGGACTTAGTGCCGGGATTAGTCTGAACGTACATCTTTCATTGCTACCAATAGGTTTATGAAGTAGACCTGGAGATTGTTTTGGCAAAATCACAATTCAGATGAATTTGGGCTAATTGGCAATTTGCCTGAACAAACTAACTCCAAGCTGCCACATGCCCTAGTCCTGTAGCAACTGAAATGGCCAAATGGCTAAACTGTTTCAATTGGTCAATTGGACTAGCAGCCAGTGAGAAAATAGTTTAAAACTGCCTGTGATGGTCACTATGACCCCCAAACTAACACAAGGGAATTTAACTTACCTGCCCCATGCCCCCATGCCTGAGAAACCATGCAAAGTTACTGGTCCAAAGATCACAAGAGTTTATACAGCCCAGGCCCTTGCAATAGTTTTGATAATGTGCACTGTGTCAGGCGAGATGCCAACACTAATAAGAGGATACAAGAAATGAAGGTCACGGCTTGCGTCACTTTAGGTTAGTTGGAGCCAGAATGACTTGCCTTCAACCTAGTAAAAATGGCTCAATAACTCAATACTGTTGTGATCGCGGCTAAATCTATGCAGCTGCGTCAAAATGAATTCAAGCTTGCTGAATTGATGTGATTGTGCCAAAATTGGAGTTAAGTTACTGAATTGACTCAGCTGGAATGTTTACCCTAGGACAGACATAGTAAACCTTCGGCACTCCAGGTGTTTTGGACTACACCTCCCACGATGCTTTGCCAGCATTATGGATCTAAAAGCATTAGGGGAGATGTAGTCCACAACATCTGGAGTGCTGAAGGTTTCAACCCCTGCCCTAAGACCATGGTAAAATTGTTGCAATTGTGTCAGAACAGGTGAGTCTCCTTATCATTAGCTAGTATTAATTAATGTGTGCTATCATATGAATTGTCTCCTTTCATTATATTGCTATATCAATAACTTCAATCATCTGAGTATCTGAATGTAGCTGCTTAGCGCCTAGGGCCGAATCCATGGGAAAATCAGTTCCTATGTTTATGGTGAATTTATTTCTACTTTAGGACTCCTGACACATTACTCTCTGTCAAATAGGTGCTTGTTATTACCTCTCAGGACTTATACGCGCAGGAAGGTCTTTGAATTACATTTGAAAGAAAGACCAACATTTGTAAGACGAAAGGTTTGCGTGTGTTCTGCAAAGTATTACTGCTCTGATATAGTGTTATCTAGAATTCAGATTTTAGGATAATGCTAAATATAACATATTTTATATTTCTATGAGATTGCTGCTACTGAGTTATTTTTTTTAAATGAATTGCATTCAATTGACAATCACAGTGCTAATATTTTGACTGATTAGCTGAGTGAAAAAATTCCCCAACAAGATATTTTGGTTTAACTTTTACAGATTGGTAGCAAATGAACTTCAGTCCGCTGTTTATGTAATAAAACCATATTGCCTTCTGCTTAATTTGCAATTCTTACTGGATATATGATATGTATGGATTTGTATTGGGATATACAGTATTTTACATAACATTTTAAAATAATACTACTAATCTTACTCGACAAACATGGTGCTACTGCCAAATGTCATGTTGTATTTTGTATGAGTAATAAGTAAAATAGTGAAATTATTAAATGGTAGTTTATTAAATGGAGGTTATAATGATTGATAATATCTTTATTGGCTTTTCTTAAAAAAAACTATGCAAACATACTTCCTTACGCAACCCATGCAGTTAAACCCATAGATATGGGATAAAGGTCATTCATTAGTTCCATTATGTATTAATAGTTCAATAATGTAAACCCATGAACGAGACACCACTCACTGCAATTCACAGCTACAACTCGTTAATAATTTGCAACATATACATATCTCTTCCTTAGCTGGAGATTCATGTTCTATGTATAAAGATAAGTTACACAAGTCTTTAAGTGATTTATCACAGACAATATTCACATAGAGCATGCACTACATTTTATATTTTGGAGTTATTTCGTTATGCTGGAAATCAATTCAACTGGAGTATTAATTAGAATATGTTAGCTGATTTAAGTATACATTATTATATATTAAGCCTTACGTTTTTCAAGGAATTCTAAAACCAGACACTGTTCTTCCTCAAAACAAACATACTCCACTTTTTAAGGAATTATAGCATTAGGAATACAAATATGTTCCTATAGTGTTCCTCTACCTATAGCTTGCTCCGCACTCCCACTTACCTTACATCCCACAGCGTGCTGGTCTCAGTGTCCTCCCTGGCTGAGATAATCACTTTCGAAGATTTTAATTATGTCAGCCAATCCAGTGCTTTCCCATTCTATGAAACTATCTGATTGAAATAGCCACGTTTTACTCTGATATTTCAGCTGAAGCGTCTCTAATGGTTGTCAGAGTGACAGCCACTGGAGGCCTTTTAACCCTGCAATGTAAACAATCAAATGTTAATAAACTCCTATATTACAGTTCTTTGTTAAATTGTGCCATCTGATTGGAGAAATAATCCCTCCTGAATTATTTAGTGGGTCACCTCTAACAGCCTTTATGATTATTAACTGTTGGTAGTATTGATTTGTAAAATCGTCGAGATGAAATTGTCTAGAAGTCTACGGTGTCTCTTTAGCACAGAGAAATAATTGATATTTCCAACACATTTGTGGAGAAGTCATTGATACATCAAGGACAAATGTAAGTTATTTGTGATGTGCTTGTTAATGTATAACAGTCAATGTCTAGCATAAGGATGATGTTTCCTAATATATTTTCTCACTGACGTTTCTTCCAAGACAATATGTTATTTTCTGTTGTTGTTATAGTTGGACTTATAAACTGTGCCATTTTTATTTTGAAGATAATTTGTGTAGCTTGTCATATTGTGTAGCTTGTCAAAGGTTGTAGTCAAGAATACTTTTGGTAAAAATATTTCTACCAAATTGTTGCATAGTTCATGATCCACCAAAATTCAGGCCTTATGCCAGTATGACCACATAGTAGCCAAAGTAACTGTATATGCCAAGACTGCTACAAGATATACTCGGAAGAGGAGAACATCAAGTACATAACCAACTTGCAGCCATTCCTTGGCTATATCCCGATATTCATCTCTCTTTTCCAGGTGCTGGCGGATAGATGCAATCTCATGAAGGATGCTGTCCACTATTATGGAACTCTCTCTTGTTGGCAGAATAACTCCCCCCGACCTCTCGTAATCCTTGGAATTTTCTGAGTTGTATCGAGCCAATTTCACTACGAGAAACAAAGTTTTGTTATTATCTCATTTTATCCTATTAGACCTATAACTTTCTAAGAATTATATCATATCATGGTTTTAGGAACCTGGTTGTGATTTTACGTGTCCACTATGGCATATCATTCTTTTAAAAATACTTTTTATCTTACATAGAAATACCACACCATAAAAAATACACCACCATATTATATGCTGAACTTCTTTAGATATGTATTGGTCAATAAACCTCACCTGTACTGTTGTTGTCCATCTGCTGGGACAGATCAGAGCTGTGGGTGCGAACTGTAGTCAATTGCTCATTCCGGATACAAAGTATAACTGTGATTTTCTCTAAGACCAACTTTTTTACCCACTCTGGGACATGAGTTTGAAGATCCTGTTTATGAACTAACCGGACTATAAGTATTGTCTCTGTCAAGCTGATCACCAACAATGCCATACAAACAGCAAAATACACACCTGAAATTAATAGTACACGCATAGTATTAGGTTAGCTAGCTACAAATTCATATTCAATTATATTATAGAGTGGAAAGGTAAGTACAACATGAGTGGATAGTTTATGAAATCTAGCCTAAGCGTTTTAGCTAGATTAATGTTTTCAAACTCTTATACTACAGTTGTTTCTTAAATTTTGCCACCTCATAGGGGAAATAATCCTGAATTATTTAATGGGTTATCTGTAACAGCATTTGTGATCACATTAATGACATTTACTGTTAATGGTACTGATTTTTACGACTGTGCACACGCATTTATATCTGTATATACACTAGATGAAATGAAAACCTTAAATGGATTATGAAAAGAGCTTTGATAAACAAAAAAAATGTGCATTAGAGAGCAGAGACCTAAAAAGACTGCAGGTTTCTGGGAAGTCATGGGGATGGCACGTAGTTTTCAGCCAGAGAACAAACTTCAGAAAAGTAATTAGACATCAAGACTTAATGCCATATCTGCTAGTCCTTATCAAGGGGCATGAAGGAACCCAAAATGTTTAGGGGTATGTTCATCAAAGTTCTAATGTATAGTCATATTTCACAAGAAATAATAAGTAATAATCACACTCTTTCAAAATTATAGCACAAGTAGTAATTTTACTACAAGAAATAAAAAAGTATATAATTGTTTTTTATTATGATAGAAAATTCTTACCAATCAATGGGGTTCCAATAGCTGTAGCAGGTAATATATCCGATACAATAATAAGAAACACTGAGTATCCCAGGAGTAGCGTGATCTTGAAAGAAACTCTTTCACCACTATCTGGGGGCAAGTAGAATCCAATAATATCCATTATCATGAGAAATATGCTCGGTAGAAGCAAATTCACTGCATAGAAAAGAGGTCTTCTTTTAATAACAACCTACATTAGAAGACAATAATATATCTATTAAATCCGAGGTCAGACAGAGCCAGCACACCACTGTATAGGTTGTAGATAAGATAATTAGATTTAGTTTGTCTTTGTATTGTTTTAGAGTATTTTCCAACACTTCCAGTTCCATTTTTTAATCTACATTTACACATCCTTATATACTGGTGATATATAAGAGAAATATTTTCATATTGATAAGATTGCTTTTCCTCATAGAGGAGGGCTGTGATTTCTAACTCATTCCTCAAGGCAGTTTTTGGACTGCTGGTATGCCTTGAAGACTCTGTTCGGAGGTAATGATGTAGCGGCATTGCAATAAAAAGTCAACATATCTCTTTACATATAGCACTGTTTTGCACTAATATACCATTTGGTTAACTAAATGCTGTACACCAATAGAATCAGTTGCAATATGATCCTTATTAACACATCCTAATTGATTTGGCAGCCACAGTTATATAACATGGAAAAAAACAAGCACATAAATGGATGTTGGGAAATGGTATGGTAATATTCTGAGTAGGTGAGAACTTTTTTAATGCACGAGGAACTCACGTGAAATTTCATCTCAGCGAAGGTATTGTTGTTTTCTAAGAATTCTCCATACTGAGACAACACATGCAGTAGCTCCCATTCCCCTTTATTCATAAAGAGTCTCTTGTCTTCTTTGACCTCCTCTGGTGTCCTCCATAAAGAGATGTTGATATCCTGAACTAGAAATCGAGAAAATATAAAATTTAATATATATTTAGCAGCTGGGTGTAGAGTGGTTGTAGCCGGACAGCAAAATGGGTCATTGTGATACAGCAGGTGTGGAGTTTATAAATATTGACATTCACTTGCCACTAGCCATTGGCAAGCGAAACTCTAGCCCTGATGAGCAGAAATTCAACTCTGGTGAATATGTTAAGCCATGCTCTAAGTCACATTGTGACACCAAATCAATGAATGAATGAATTGTGCATGTTAGGGTTTAAGGATGGATTTAGGTCATGGTACAGGGATAGTTTTAGGAGGCGAATGGAAAGGGTAACGACATTTAACTGCGGCTGAGACCTCTGGTATTTTGCCACCTAGCAACACTACTCAAATTGACATCACAGGTAATTCAATGTTCAGCTTTCAGCCAAGGTTCAGTGTACAATTCAACATATATCATAATTATTATTCTTTATATACCACCAACATATTACGCAGCTTTTAGAATCATAGAATGGGGACAAATTACATAGAGAATATTAACAAGAGACAAGAGTTGAAGAAGGTCCTGCTCAAATCAGCTTACAGACTATGGATTTATAGAATTTATTGCCCGTTTTCCATTAACACACAAATTCTACAACAGATTCTAAACCCTGCATGCAGATCTTACTTTTGTGAAGCCAACTGGTGAATGTAAGAGAGCAGTTCTGAAGATCAAAAGGGAAGTTGTAGATATT